TTCCCCCTGGAACAAATAGCAGCGGCAGAGTTTCGGGTGGCACACATTCCCACCATATATTATACCGCCTTGCCTTTTTTGTGCAGGTTTGGGGGGAGGGAGGTTGGGGTTCTTTTACATATAGGGTTTTTCTGGTATCTTATTTTTGCTCTGTACTGCAAATATGCAGTGCACAGAACCTTTTCATGTGTACCACATGCCTCCTGCAGTGCCTCAAAAGCCTTTGAGGTTCTGCAAAGTGCATGTTCCCACTCATCTGGATGTACCTTCAGATTTCAAACAGGAATCCATAGTATTTTAACCATTCTCCCCTCTTATGGTCTTTCTGAGTTCTTTGCAAGAGAAGAATTGATCTACTTTTTCTGTAGTGAAAAAAGTGTGTGAAAACTAAGCGCTGGTATTTTTTTCAAGGGGTGTCTTAATTCTGAAAAGGTTGAGAATGCCTCAACACTTCAGCCATGTTTATTTCTCTGTATCAATGTAAACCTTATTGTTCCATTTAGAACAGCCTATCAATCTGTCAAGAACAAATTCTGTCCTGATAGAATTGTATGCCATTCCCACTGAAATAAATGGGAACTTCATGTATGTATTATATTGTTAGACTTTTGTCTTCATAAAGCCTGATTCAAAGCACCCGTTAGTCAACGGGAGACTTTCCACTGACTTCATCTGTTTTTGAATCAGATACAAAATCAACATAATATAGGATGCAAAACATTCTTTCTTATATACAGTAATAGATTTAGAGGCAGAGATAATCATAGAAGTAATCACCATTTTTTCAGAAGATAATGTGTACCATCACTGACTGCAGTCTGATTTGAAAGCAAATGACTTCATCAGTTGTGGCCTCAATTTCTCCACCTGTAAAATGGGGATAAACATCTTCCTTTGTAACCTGCAGATGGGGAACATTTCTTAGAAGTAATAAAACTATAGCTTTGAAAGCTCATGGGTCATACATGAAAGTAATATAATTTGCTAACATTAAGGGCTTGATTCCACACCTATTATAGTTGATGAATGCATGGACTAAGTGGGAACAGGATCTGACAGTATATTATGTGCAGCTGAAGGATACTGCCAATTAAAAAGAAAAATATAGATTCCATCTGCTCACAGGAATCACTTAACAAAAATCAATCTTGCTTTACAGCATTATTTGTTTAAAACAAGGATAAAAGAAATATCCTACATTTTGCTGATAAATCACACCTTCAAAGCATGGTTTCCTTCTAAAAAAGGATTCATTTACTTATTTTACATTCACTCTTAGAATCGCCATATCTGTACCATACTTCAACAGGCCCAATGTTCAAAGGTGCTCTTCCCTTGGCAAATATGGGGACAGAATAATTGGGCAGTTGTTTCTGCTCCACAGCCCAATTGCAGATTTAGATCTGATAGATCTAAAAAGGCTTTTGTGGACAGGCTAGAAAATCAGGGCACTGGATCTATCCATTAGGCCAGAGGATAACTTGGCAGTCCTGCATCCTTGGCAATTGAAGTTCACAAGGCAGTGGCTAGAGTTGAGCTGCAAGTGAAGGCATGACATCCAGGAAAGCAGGGGCAGCAGATACTATTCTTGTGTCCCGCCCTCACCAAGGTTCCCTCTAAGCTGTGTGCACGCGTGGCTGTGCACAATTTAAAATCTTGCCACACACAAACTTTTTAACACCGTGCACTCACCTGGAGAGGAACTGAGCGTAGTGGAGGCATCCGGGCCAGCACAGGACACTTACCTGAAGTAAACTCCTCACGCAGGACAAGCAGTGGCTTGTCCCAGAGGTGGGGGCGGGGCCGGGGGCTAGGGCTGGGCTGGAGTAGAGTGCCTCCTTGCTCCTCAAGGTGAGGCAGGGGCTGGGGGCTGGTGCCAGGGAACTGCTCCATCAGTTCTGGGGAACTGCTCTGCTCCCCAGCCCCAATGCCATGTACCTCCTCACTCCCCAAGGCAAGGCAGGGGTGGGAGCTGGGGCTGGAGACTGGCGTACGCTACCACTAGCTACCACTTAGGGGAGCTGCATCCTTAGCAAGAGAGATCCTTCTTGCTTGTAAAAACAGTTTCAAAGAATACAGGTGTTATAATTCATTTCATTTGGACTTTTGCAATCTATTAATGGAACACTATATATTATATTTTATAAATATATCAATAGTAAATATAATATATAATATAGAAATGTGTTGAGTTATGACCCTAAAAGGAAACTTCATAGTTACAAAATGCACTGTACTGGTTCTAGCATTAATTTACTGTAGGGGAAATTAAATGTAGGGGAAATAAAATGGTGACTGCTCAGGGAGCATCAGCAT